TTTTTTTTTTTTTTTTTTTTTTTTTTTTTTTTTTTTTTTTGAGGCTATGTGGCCCTGGCTGGGCTTGAACTTGTGGCGATCCTCTTGCCTCAGCCTCCTAAGTGTTAGAATTATAGGTGTGCCCCACCATGCCCAGCTTCTCAGATTTTTTTTTTCCTAGTACTGATTGAACTCAGGGCCTTTGCACTGAGCTACATCTCCAGCCTCTTTTTATTTTTTAAAGACAGGGTCTCACTAAATGGGTAAATTTCTCAGGCTGAGCTTGAGTCTATGATCCATCTGCTTCAGCCTCTCAGAGTGCTAGGATTATAGGCATACAGTTTTACTTATCTACTTTTTTACTCAGCCCTTGGCTCTTTTCAATGCTGGTCCTAACTGCCACACATTTCTTCTAGAAGTATTGATTTTCCTCTCAGTTATTGAGATGGCAGTGACAGGAGCCTCTAGGAGAACTTCCAACTGCTGCAGTTATATGTTCTTTTTTGTTTTTTGCATAAGGCAAGTTATGTGACTTGCCTATTTCTGTCACTTGATACAACATACACAACGGCATAATCCAGGAGGGTTTTGTGCGTCATATTTAAAACAACTGTCTGTGAGGACAGCAAGGGTTTCAGGGCATGTTAATATTTAAATTCTCAGAGCGTGTTTCCTTCTCTATTAAGTAGGGGCCATGTCTATTCCTTAGGGTTGGGGAGAAGATGCCCAGAGGGTCCTATGCGGTGCCTGACTTCATGCCACTCGTGTGGAAATCATGAACTCAGATTTCTCTTCAGCAAGAAAAACTGAGTTTCAAATTGAGCCACTGGCAGCTTTAAATCTTGTGGAAGTGTAATAGACTACAGACATTAAGTATATACACCTTTTTTTTCATCTTGGTGATGTAATTACAGGTGATTTTAAAATTTCCTTTGTATCCTTTGGTGTAGTCCAGTTTTTTTTTTCTACAGTGAACATGCAACGTTTTTGTAATCTGAGAATTACAAAATAAATGTAAAATCAAGTATTTGTTGGTTTTATGTGTACTTCTTCATAATTTAAGGCTCTCCACTCTCTAAAATGATAAGGCTTGTAATAAAATCATGAGCAATTTCAGTCCCGGTTTATTATCATGAATGTATAACTCTACACCTTTGTGATACTGATTGTCTCCACTCAATGCTCTGAATGTATAAAGCGGGTAATATACTCATATCATCCCAAAGAATTGTAAAAAAGGTATTGAGTGAAAGTCTTGCCTCCATCTCTTCAGGATGGCCAATTTTCACTGACCGCAAACCCCACCACCAAATTTAAATAATTTACGTACAAATAAAGACACTTTCAATTTTTATTTATCATTTTAAATTTTTATTTTGGTTTTTTAAGGCTATGTAGTCTAGGCTGGCCTCAGACTTGTGGTGAGCCTCCCACCTCAGCTTCCCAGGTGCTGGGATTATAAGCGTGTGCCACCATGCACAGGTATAGACATACTCTTGCTGGTTAGTGTTTTAGCTGTTGAATTTGTTAATGTAGGCCAACACTGTTTGATGCTTTAGATAATATGTAATATTTCTAGAGCTTACAGATAAAAAGATGCTTATAGTATTCATAGTATTTGCTTTAGTCCATATGGCCTTGGCTTGGACACTGAAAGCCATCCTCACTGCAGTCTGGAGTCCTCAGGAAGTGAAGCCTGAGACCCTGGCTTACGTGTAACATCTTTCAGGTGCATAAATCCTGGATCTGGAGTGAAGGGGATAGGGTGTGATCCAGGCAAGGAGACTGGATGAGGGCAGGACAAAGTGGCCACCTCTGTCTGGGTCCTCAGCTTCACTTTTGGTCTTGAAGATGCTTTTGCTGGACACAGGATGGACCAGCAGTCCCAGGACAGTTCACAGTGAGGGCCGGAGGACTGTTCTGCTTATTATTGTGGGGTGTTCACTCCGGGTTGCACAATCCCAGGGTCTCTCACAGCTCCAGCGGGAGGGAGGTTGGATGTGACCACAGCAGGGGTGAGGAGAGGCCTGTGTATGCTCACACAAAGCTCCCATGTGCGTGTAACTGTTTGCCACCCTGCAGCTGGGCCAGAGCCCAGAGCAATGCAGTGAAGCACCTCGCACTCCTTAAGAAACAGCCTGATACTTCTAAATTTCAGAAAAGTCCTAGTGACATGTTAGAAAGTGTGATTTTGTTTGCCTTGATCACATTTATTTGCTGATGTCCTGTTAACCAATGTGAGGCAGCCAAAAAAATTATTTTCAATTCAACTACAGCAGAGTTAAATCATGTTTAAGTTGGAAGAGATTTCAGGTTATTAAGCCCATCCCTTTTTGTTGAAGATACCTAGATTCTTCAGAATGAATATATTTATTTGGTAGTGCTGTGGATTGAATTTGGGTCTTTGTGCATTTTAGGCAAGTGCTTTATCACTAATCTGTACCCCATAACCCCAAGATCTATTCGTTTTTATGTACTCTAGAAGGACAACATGAAATAGGTAGGGTGGGTAGATTTTACTCTTCAGAGATGAGGGTCTTACAGTTCACTATTTGGCCAAAAAAACCACTGGAAGGGGAGGCCTCTTTCTTCTAAATCAGTCCTGCCCAGATGGTTTCTTTTTCTTGGCCAGTCACCAAACAGTTTCTGCTCAGGCCTAGGCTTTCTAGTTGCCTGGTCTATACCACCACAGGACAAGTTTGGATGTACACACAGATATCAGAATAGTTCGATGCTATAGTCTGAAACAAGGTCAGAAAGAACATCAGAAAAAGGGTCATTCTAACAGGAATTTCTTTTTGATGTTCTCACAACTCGATTTTTATGCTATTAAACATTTTCCCCCTTTCTTTTAAGCATTAAAAATTATCCATAGGCATTGCTATTTCTCTTTATTTTTAATTATCACACAAAAATGAAGATAGTAAGTCACAAAAAACTGTGATAAAAACATTCTTGGCCTTTAGCTTTTTAATGCAAAAATATCTTAGTTTCTACTGACTTTAATATGTTTAAAGTAAAATTCCTTCTCAAATATTTTTTTTGGTACTGGGGATCAAACTCAGGACCTTGTGCTTGCAAGGTAGGTATGGTACCAGTGAGCTAAGTCCCCAACCCTCCTTCTCAGATTTTTAAGTAAATTATAGTTCAGTAGCATTGGAAATAACTTAGCTTTTTAGAAATAATGTACAGGAAACAGGATTTATATACTTTGATGCTACAATCAATGACAGACTAAACATATTAAAATTTTTTTTTAATTTAAAAAGTTTTACTTAATTGCTTAAATAAAAAATAACATTAAAGTAATCTCTACATATAGTTACAAAGGATGTTACAGCTTGAAAAAGTCTTTTGTAATTTTGAGGTGGACATGATATATCCACAATGTTCTAATAATATGGAAATGTTAAAAACTAAAGACTTCCAACCCTTGGTAAAACAAAGGAGTTAAAAGACCTCATTGTGAGATATTCATGTCAGTCAACTACTTTTATGGACTGAATGCTTGTGAGAGACTGTGGGTGGGCTGATCTTGTTCCGAGAGATCTGGAAGCAGAGATACTATTCTCAGGATGAATGGTCCGAGGATATTTTGCAGCAGTCGCTTGGGGAATGGTTTGCTGAAAAGATAAAAATGTGCTTAATAATCTCATAAGATTATTATATTATCATCCCATTATCTATAATTTAACACAACAAACATCTGTTAAGTATCTAGCAGATACCAGGAACGAGTTAGGCGAAACAGCCCTTAACACAAACAAGACAAAGACTTTCTCCAAAAGGAGCCCATGCACAGTTGGCCACCCACAGCACCCAAAATTTAATGTTGGAGCTGCATTTTAGAGCCATGGAGTCACTTATCAAAGAGGACGAAGTGGAAAAGGCTTACAGAGACGAAGGAGAGAAAGGAGCTTCCTGATATTTGAGACAGACAGCCCCACGCCGTCCTCTACTCCACCCAACTTCCACCTCTTCAGCTGACCTCACGCACTGGATCCAATCCTGGAGGATGTGGGCAAGCCCTAAGGATCCAGAGCAAAGCAGAGGCCTCACACCTCAACTGGTTCTTCTGAGAGCAGAAGCCTGGTGCTCCCCTAATATGGATCACAGCCTTCTAAACAAGGAAATAACTAGATGTTGAGGACACATACTGAGGGGAGGATGTGCCCACACCTCAGAGCACCACAAAATATCTTGGACATAAGCACTGAAGTGTTAAAGTCAGGGCACATCTCACTCAGTCTATATGAGATGTGATCCAAAATTATGGTCAATGTTTGAATAAAATATTTTATTACAGTAAAAGACATTAGTGCTATTAATCTCTCTCAAAATACTCTTCTTAGCTTCAGACATACATATTCCATCCTTCCTGCCACTTTCTGAAGCAGTTCTGGAGTCCTCTTTTGGGAGTGTTTTTTCATGGGTGTCTCAATGTCCTGAAATGATTCACAATGTTTATAGCAATTTCTTTAAAAAACATCTACAGCAGGGCCGGGGATTTAGCTCAGTGGTGCTGCTGCCTGCCTCGAAAGCGCAAGGACCCAAATTCAATCGATCCTCAGTACCAAACAAACAAACAAACAAAAAACATCTGCAGTGTGTCCATGTCCAGCTGTTGACAGGACCTGGTACCATGTGATTTTTTTTTTAGCTCTTTCTCAAAGCCAAAATGACATGAAAAGTAAACATTTTGAATTGATTCAGAACATCAAGGCAGCCATGACAGTGCAACTGAAGACACTCATGAGAGAGGACTTCCAGAAGTGCTTCAGAAAGTGGGGAGAACAACGGGATAAGCGTGTTAGAACCAACAGGGAGAATTCTGAGGGGATTGATGGCAATGTGTCTCCTACGGTAATAAATTTAAAAACTGAGCTTTCTGATGAGCATTACGTGCATATATATAAGAGTATGTGTAAGATGAGTATATGAATATGTGTAAGGCTTTTCTCTTTTATATGCAGTACAGCTTCCAACAGCCAGCATTGGGATTCACTCTCAAGTTAAGTTCTCAAACATGTACACACAGATATCTACTAGGGTCTAAAAAAGAACATGGGATATCTCTGTTTTATTTTACAACATCATGTAAACACACAATTACTTCACAATGTGAAATCTAAAAGGAGTTAGAAAAAAAGAATCCTAAGTAACTCCTCCCTGGCCTCCATATTTCTATCTGGTGTTGTTCATACATCTCTGGTCTCCACCCGGGGCTCAATTTAAATAATCCAGTCTCCTGGATTTAATCATCTAGTCACCATCTAGTATCCAGGAAAAAAACTTAAAAAAATCACACTTTTTAAATTAATACTTTCGAATCGCTTCTCGGCCTTTTGGCTAAGATCAAGTGTAAATTAATACTTTCGTATACTGAATACACAGGAACATTGTCTAATATTGGAGATTTAAGAGAAGGTAATGTCTTTTAAGACCGATCCTTAGTTCTCTATAATGATATATTCTTGTTACTCTTTTTATATTTTTGTCTGTGAGATAACTATTGATTTCCAGGGTGCTGTAAGAAAAAAATATTTCACATTCTTTTTCTGGTAATTTTTAGTAAGTTAATATTGCTTATGGTTTTATAGTTTATAAAGTGCTTTCATACAGCTTTTAATTTTCACATTACTCATATAATCCTGAATCCAAAGTAAGCCTAGGAGATGAGTATTCTTACCAATCTCATTTTACAGAAGAGAAAATGGAGGCTTAAACATTTCACTTGATTTGTAAATGTCACAAAGTAATAAGGAAGAGAACTTGGGCATTTTTTTGCTGATTTCTTCTTTAAATAATATATACCTTCTTTTCTATTACAAATTCATAGAGCCTGATTTTATTTCAAAACTAGGAATATGCTGACAATTTTATTGACAAAGGGGAAGAAGACTTTCTTTTTTTTTTTTTTGGTACCGGGGATCGAACTCGGGTCCTTGCGCTTGCAAGGCAGGTGGTGGAACCACTGAGCTAAATCCCTGGCTCTAAGACTTTCTTTAAAAGGGGATAAAGTTGGGAAATTTTTGTAATCAGATATACACTACATGAACAGCTGGTTCATGAGTAAAGTTTTGTCTTGAAGCATTATACATTTTACCATTTCGGGAACCAACGCACTGATTACTTTTTGGACTAGATAATTTTTCCACTGGGAAAAAAACACTGTTTCAGAAATCAACTTTTTAACAGAGGAAGGCAGATCTGGTTAAGTGTAAGGGTGTCAGAGTGTAACAGTAAAAGGTAGGCCAAGCGTCAGTCACATTCAATTTTGTTCGCAAAATGTCACTAGAGGGTTTCTCTACAAACTCTCAGGAAAAGGATTTCTTGACAACAGATCATCAAATGTGGACTTACCACTGTGACTGGATGATGTTTCTCCACAACAACTGAGCTCATGGGAGGAGAAACTCCCATAATAGCTAAACTACTATTAATTCTGTTTTTTGAGGCAAAATCACATCTGCCTGTGATCCGGGCAGTAATTGTTCTTCCAGCTTTTTGCTGTGCTGAAGTCACAACTCTTGGCACATACTAAAACAAACAAATAAGAAACAGATATCCAGTTGGTACAAAATCCATTGAAAAATATAAATTACTTTTGTTAACTCACATAGAACTTAAAATAATTGTATATTCAACTAACTTTAGTGTGGAAAAACAAAAACAAAAACAAAAACAAAACAACCCTTAAAACAATGAGGCAAAAACTAAAACAGAAAACCAAATATTGTGAAACATCCCCAGAACCTTGATATACCTACTATTTTTTAAGATTTTAAGGATTTAAAAAAATATAATCTAGGGCTGGGGGTTTGGCTCAGTGGTTCTGCTGCCTGCCTTGCAAGCACAAGGGCCCAAGTTCGATCCCTGGTACTAGGAAAAAAAAAAAAAATCTGAATTGGTGATAGCTTCACAAGAAGTTCAAAGATTGTGCTGAGAAGCCTGGGTACTCCTTGATCAGATTCCTGGCGTGACTACATCTTCCATAATTAAAGTGTAATGGCCAACACTGGCATGATGCCAGTGTCGGGTCCTATGGCATTTTATGCCTATGTGCATTCCTGTAACTACTGGTTCAATCAAGATGACTGTTCTGTTACCACGAGGACATTTCTCATGCCGCCACTGCAGCCTTGCCTGTCTGCCTTCTTCCCCAGCCATCTTTCACTCCTGTCAGCCAGCTGTTTATAAATGCTTTGAGCCTTGGGCAAAATCAACATTATCACTACATATATTCTTTTGTATTCTGCCTATTTTCTTCTCACTTTATTAATATACTTTTTCATATAATGGATATGCTGTAATTTTTTAATGAGATGCTTTTCCATGACCAACTAATTTGTCTTTCTCAGTTATTTTTCTTTTTATTTTTCTCCTGCAAAATGGTTTTATTACGAAGGCCAGGAAACACCAGGCATGGTAATGACAAACTGTAACCTCTTGGGAGGGGTGATCCCCACACTGTGCTGCTGCTCTGCGAGAACATGCAGCTCCCGGGGTTCCTAAACCTAGAGTCAGTAAAGAACTACAGAAGCAGAGTTTAAAATAAAAGCACATGATTTATTTGAAGGTGGGAAAAGGGGGGAGAGGGGGGCAGGGAGAAGGGGAGAGAGAGAAGTGGGGGAGACAGAGACAGAGACAAAGCTAGTTATTCTGGAAGAGCAGGGAATATGTGAAAGGAAAATATTCCAAGATTTTTTTTTATTTTCATAGGAAATATTGCAAAAAATGGATGATCATATCAAAAGGTACTATCAGCTTTTACAGCTCTCTTGCTGTTCACTGACAGATGATGAGAAAGATCACATTTACATGAGGGGTAACGTATAAATGTGCTCATTTTTGGGGGGATGGGGGGATAGGCCAGCTATGTAGCCCCGGCTGGCCTCGAAGTCAGAGCAATCCTCTGCCCCAGTCTCCTGAGTGCTTGGATTATAGTTGTGCACCACTATACCCAGCCTAAATCTTGATCATCCTCCTGTTAAAGTCCATCTGTAATTCTCTGCATATCTGTATCTAGCTATGATGGTCACAGTTGTCTCCTGAAACGAGTGAACTCTAGGAGGAATGGATCTGGGAAAATTAAAGTGACAGAAACCTGATGTTTTGAGAGGGCTTTAAGGAAACAGCATTCAGTGGGGTTTTGCAATTCCTTGGAGTTTGGAAAGACTCATAGTTGTGTAGAAAACTAGGCAAAGATAAAAATGAAGTAATTCTAGGGACAAAAATTGTATTATAAAGGAAATACAGTCTTAGTATACATTAATGGCGTTGATATGCTTGCACAATCATCACAAATAATCTACAGTTAGCATGGCTGGATCTAAATATTTATACACAGTGAGGGTGTGGGGAGAGAAGTCACTGGGAGGCAACATAAGGCCAGATGCTTTCAATCACATTAGGAAGTCAACAGATATGTTACTGGCAAATGCAGCACTGATGACATGACCATACTGTTTAGGAAAAGATGATACACAGAAGAAAGCACTGAGTCCAGAAAGAAACTTTAAAAAGGAAAATTCTAGCATTTTCCCAATATTTCTTGGTATTTCTAGTAGTCATATCAACATAAAAAACAAAAATCAAAAGGAATGGGAAAAGTGTGGACTGTTCATAGAAACACATGACATATTAAAAACCCCAATATTTACATCTTAATAGCTGAAAGGGAGGTAACATAAAGTTGGGTAGGAATATAGAACTCTGAGGTCAGATTGCCAAAACTGGAATTCCAATTCTAACAGTTACTAATTGTGTCCACCCGCAGGTTACTCTCTTTAAGCGTCAATCACTTCATTTGTGAAATCTGGGAAGCATTACCAACTGCCTAATGATACCGTATCACTATTCATTCTGATAAAGACAAAAACTAGAAAAGAAGTTCTACCACATGGCTTGGGGTGAAGGGAGGACAGGGGTATGGGAGGGAAAAAAAGAACCAAGATATATCATGTAGAGATACAAGACCCCAATGATAAATGTAACTGTATTGTTTGCTATGAATGTACCAGTAAACTTAATGGGAAAAAAAAATCCAACTGAAAATATTCTCTCAACTACTCTAGTTGGAGTTAGAGTACAACGCCATCTATTGTTCAGTCTTACAAAATGCAACACATTTGTGTGCACACTTGCCTATCCTGGTTTTTTGAAAAAGATTTTCCACCATGAAAGTCTAACAGAATTTTCTTTAACATATTGAGGATGTCTGTAGAAAAGAAAACAAATTTACAGATGACAATGCTATTTAATTAGGATGGTAATAGACACTCCCATTATATTTTTTCTTTGCACTTTCTGCACATACTTCCTTTTGGCTACTAGAAATATCAAAGAAAAAAGCTGTAAATGTTCATAGGAAGCCTCTGTGATTATAGAGAAAAGAAAGATAACCAGGCCATGACCATAAATCTTACTTCTCCTATCCTCAACAATGACTGGTTTCATATTATGTTAGCCAACTAATGACTGTTCTTGCTTTTGTTATTACAGTTCTTTTAAAAACAAGAAGACATATTCGAGGTGGACCTCAAATAAAAAACTAGCATTATACTGACAGAGTGATTTACTTGTGATTCTCATTTCTTTCTGGTCATAGAGGCTGCACTTACATGAATGAAACTGAATGTGCGCCTGTCTGTAGGGGTGGATGGTGAGGGTGGGTTGGGGTATGGATGCTTATACAGTACTGTGGGTTGTTTTTTTTTGAGACAGGGTCTTGCTATTTAGTTCAGGGTGGCCTTGAACGTAGCATGTAGCCCAAGCTGACTTCAAACTCTGTGATCCTCTTGCCTCATCCTCCTAAGTACTGGGATTACAGGTGTGCATCACCATGCCTGGCTAATAGTGTGTTTTTTCATACTTCAAAGACTTCAAAATTACTCCAGGTGGTCAAATTATTGTAAAAAGTTAGCAATAAAAAGTCAGCACTCATTTTTTCCCTATGCATATTTAGGTTTACATACAAATGCAGATGTACAACTATAGTCACATTCTAAGAAGAAAATTCTGAAAAATTTGAGCTCTGCGTATTATTTGCATATGTGACATGAATGACAAACCAGAAATTTAAATAAATGCTCAGATCAGTTCTATAGTATAACACTTCAAAATGTGTAATCATGGAAAATAAACACAGCTGAACAAGTGTTAGGGTTGAATTTTAGCATCTCATTTCTCTATCAAACTCTCCCACACATTCAAATTTCTCTTAATGGCCACGTGATTGAGATATATGTATATATCCCAAGCCCAGAACAAACATGATAAATAGTAGGTCTCAACATTTTTCTTCAAAGCGAGTAGCTCTCAAAGGGCAGAAATTGGTGTCAGCTAGAAGCCTACAGTTATCTTTGCTACAGAAGGTTGTCCAGGGCCATGGCAACTTCTGGCAGATGTGAAGCAGCTTTAAGACCTAAGTCAGATCCTGCTATCGACTTTCTTCTGCTGTCAGTGATCAGGTGTTGGGGAGAATCACCTCAGGAGCTTTATGACACTGTGTGCCTTGGTGCCAGAGCCATGCTAGAGCGGGGACAAAGGCCACAGAGCCCTTTTGAAAAGCCCGTATTAGTGAGCCTGATAAGCTTGGCTATGCCCGGTCCCTGCTCCATCTCTGCCTGAGACATGATAACAGCAGGAGGCCAGGGGTCCAGTCAGGATGTGCTTTGTCTACACTTGATTCATTTTCCCTCCAGCCACTTTACATACACACACACACACACACACACACTCTGTCCCTACTCAGAACCCAGCCCCAGGCATGTCTCTAAAACAGGCTCAGTTGACTATTCCAGGAAAAGTTACTCCTGTCTTCATCCAGTTATGAATTAAAAGTTACAACCCAGCCAAGGTGGAGTCACCACAGAGTAGTGCCACTGTACACATTCAAACCAAGAGGGAAGGCCGTGAGATGAACAGCAACCATAAAGTTAGAGATAAAGTAACCTTCTCAGTCCTTGAAAACACCCAGTAATTTGTTTCAACCTGAGAAAAAGTCTGTCTGCAACTCTTACTCAAATCTATTTTTTCGGGTTTTTGAAAAATGTTAGGGAAAAGTTATTTATTTTTATTTTGATTATCACTACTGTTAGAGGTAACTGTTTCTCATTACAAATTAAAGTTTTAACAACTTTGTGCATTGAGTAACTTCTGTGGGTTGGCCTAAATACCACACACATTTTTTTTTCACCACAGGAAACTGTTTTGAGTTAAAAATATCCAACAGGGACAAGGCTTAGTGAAAAGGCACTTGCCCAGCATGCATGTGGCCCTGGGTTTGATCCCCACACCACACAAGCACAAAATTAACACACAGAACACCACAACAAAACATCCCACTTGTAGAGCAGTGTTCGGACACCCCTGTTGTGCAGCAGCAATTACACAAATCACACTCACCATTTCTTCAGCAGTAGATGCCGCCCCTGAAAGAGCAGAAGCAGGAATGCGAGTGCCAGCAGAGGGCACAGAAGCAGCCCCAGCAGACGTCATGGAAGCAGAAGCGGCAGAGGGCATGGCAGTGGCACCGGGGGCTCCAACTGCCCCTGTGGACGGGGACGGCAGCAGCTGTCCGGTCAGCGCTGAGGGCACCGGGGCCACCGAAGGGTCCAAGGGGGCAGAGTGTTCTCTTCCTTGAACACCAGCGCCATACTCTTCCTTTTTATTATTTGTGAAATCTGTCCCTATAAATCAGGAACTCAGTTCATTAAAAATTTCCCCAGTTGAGATTATTCTTCCCTCCAATAAAAACACATCATGGTTAAATCTGATCCTAACAAAAATGTAAGTATTTGTTGTTCACTGGAGCCCACTATTCTTTCAGCTAATGCAGTTTCTCATATTAACCAGTTAATGGCACCATTAACCACCAAAGACTTCAGAACACTCACTTCCACATGAGAAAGTAATGACTTGCTCTTAAAGAACAGATAAAAATAAGCCCGGTGTGCTGGTGCAGGCCTGTAACCCCAGCACTCTGGGAGGCTGAAGCAGGAGGAATGCTGTGAGTTAGAGGCCAGCCTGGGCTATAGTGAGTTTGAGGCCAGCCTGAATTACATAGGGAGACCTTGTCTCAAAAAACAAAAAACACAAAAATGACATGTTCATTTGGAACCTCAGTTAAATGTACTGTCATCTTACTATTACAGTGATACATATACAGTCATACAGAGCCTAAGGATCTACATTCTTTTTGCATTCACACAACTATCCTGATACATGACCATGTATTTAAATCTTCACAACTATTTTTTTGAATCATTGTAACCCCCTCTTATTTCCACCTGTTGCTATTAGTCTAGCAAAAATAGTGTATTTTTATTCTGGACTTTTCAGCAAATAGTAATAAATCAACAAGGCACTGTAACCATCATTACTTCTAGCACTGTGGAAAAAAAAAATGGTTCTTTTAAATTTGTTTTGAACTGGTCTCACTATGTTGCCCAGGCTGGTTTGGAATTGCTGGGTCATGTGATTATTCTGCTTTAGCCTCCCAAGTAGCTGAGACTATAGGAATGCAGCACCACCATGCCAGGCAAGAAATGTGCTCATGGTAGAACACACATGAAGCATCGTTTCTGTTGTTTGTTTTAAGAGTAGGAAAGGGGAATAGGAATAGCTCCCAAGAGAAAGAAGGGGTCCTGAATGAGTGGCACTGAAGCCCTTTGTCAGAGGTAATTTATACAGCAAAGTCACAAATGTGGGTACAATTAGGGTCAAACTATAATCAACCTATAGGATTACAAGTACAGCTGCTTAGCTAATATTGATCCAATAGGGAAGCGAAGCATATAGCAAGGCTGTATGGTTAGCATCATCAACCTTGGCTTATCTATGACTTCTAAACAGAAATATTTTGGGAAAGGATGGGTCCAGGTGCTCTGGTCACCCACCTGAGTGTCTGATGCATATCTGGATTTAACGGCCTGGGTGGTACTAATTACAGTATAGCCTCAAGTTCTGCTTATCCCTTAGGGAAGTATAAGTTGGAGGCCCCAGCACCTCCTAACCTTGAGAAAGTTCTTTCAGTTAGACCATGTAAATCATGAATACAGAGCACATCTAGACATCTAACTGATCACAGGGACCTCTCACATAGCAACATTCTGTCACAACTGAAGCCTGTCCTTGATTTAAGGAGTGAATGGAGTCTAGTGAGGTGGTGCATGCCTGTGGGAATGCCGGGGTAGGAGGGACTGAAAGTTGGAGTCCAGACAGAGCAATGTAGCAAGACTTTGTCTCGAAATAAAAAATATAAAAGGGCTGGAGATGTAGCTCAGCATGATGGCCCTGGGTTCAATCCCTACAGCAGCAGCCCCCACTTCCCCACACACAAAAGAGTAACTGGAGTCAGCTTTCAAAAGCACAGATAAAGGAGTTCTTCCACTTTAGATTCATTTCTCTCTCAGCATTAGAATGCAGTCAGCTTTCACTTAAGACCACATCTCTGTGGTACGAAGCAGCAGAGTGAGGGTTTGCAAATCCAACAAGATATGTAGGTCCATGTACACAGTTTTCAGCTCATTTTTTTGTTTGTTTGTTTTGTTTTGTTTTGTTTTTTTGAGTCAGAGTCTCACTATACAGTTGAGACTGACCTGGAACTCATTATGTAACCCAGGCTGGTCTCAAACTCACAGCGATCCTCCTGCCTTAGCCTCTCGAGTGCTGGGATTACAGGTGTGTGCCACCATGCCCAGCTTTCTTTGCTTTCTTTTCTTTTTTTTTTTTTTTTTTTTTTTTTGTGTACCAGGGATCAAACTCCGGACCTTGGTGGCACCACTGAGCTAAATTCCCGGCTGTACATGGTTTTCTATATTGTCTTCTTTTCATCCAGAAATATGGGCTTATGCATCAGTCTTTTTCTTAAACTATTTGTATATAAAAAAGATTTACCTTGTTAACAAAGTTTGATGATGGTTACAGTGCCTAGATCCTTTGAAACCCTCTGATGAAAGGGATGGATTCAATATGAAATAGACCTGTTTTTAATGTCAGAACAAAACACACACACTCACACACACACGCACATGCACATAATTGCCTAGATCCTTTGAAACCCTCTGATGAAAGGGATGGATTCAATATGAAATAGACCTGTTTTTTAATGTCAGAACAAAACACACACACTCACACACACACGCACGTGCACATACTGCACGTTTTAACATGTTTTTGATGGAATGTGATACTAGCTATCTGTCTTTCTGTGGTAGCAGACATTACCGGTATAGAACTGAGGTCAACTCAGGCCAGGGATAGCCGGGAAGAGAGGTAGGTGACCAACTCTCCCTAAGGTGGGCTCGTTTATGGGTGTTCTGTTTATGAGATGATTGTTAAGTTTAATAGTAATTATTATTTAATGGGGCTGATTATTTTGATAGTTGTTTTTCTACTGTGCCTAAAATTGCTTGAAAAATTGGCAGGTATTATTTAAAGTCATTTTTTTTTAATCATCAAACTGCCTTCTTTATAAATCCTCTAATTTATCAGATTTGAGAAAACATACATGAGGTTCCCTGGAGATTACAGACAACAGAGATATGGGACAAACAAAAATATTAAAAAGCTATTTAATATTCAAAGCACCCTGCATTATTAAAAAGTGCATTATATAAAAACCATTGTTTTAATGGGCAGAAGGGTGTCAGAAGTGTTTTTTGTCTTATGAGAATTTAAAAATTAAAATAGCTGCTAATAAGATGTTATAAAATCTAAATCCCACAAAGCATAGCCACCATTAGATTACAATGAGCATTCACCTTTGATACCAACATTACTGTAGTGTGTACTTTACTATTTTTGACCTCTTTATCACTTATTATTATGACAAACAATGACAGATCACTTAAAACTGTTGGGTTCTCAGAGAATGCATTTGCTACATATGAAGGAAGACTTCAAAGAAAGTCTTAAAAGGAATGAAACATGGGCCAGGGATTTAGCTCAGTTATGCTGCTGCCTGCCTTGCCAGCATAAGGTTCTGAGTTTGATCCCCAGTACCAAAAAATAAACAAACAAACAAAAAGCCCCAAAACAAAACAAAACAAAAAGGAATGAAACAAATAATGCTGTGTAACTGTCAGAATACATTTTCTTTCTATAAATCTTTTTATGCATATTGGCCTGAAAGAGATATACCTGTTATTTGAATTTAAATTTTAAGATGGTAAACTTACTAAAGCAGTAAAACATTAAGTAATCTCATTGCCTTAAGTAGGTTGTGAAAACAATTTCTTCTGTAATTGAATGTCATTTCTTCTAGCCAGTACTAGTCAACCTAGTACCTTTTCCTAATAGACAAATCCTCAATTCAATATATGCAACCTGCTAATAATTAGAACTGAAACACACTATTCTATCATTGAAGGGGGTGAGTTGGTTTTCAGCACTGATCCTCAAATAAAAGACTATTTACTGAAGAAATCAAGTTCTTATTCAAGTATTAGCAAGCTAAACAATTCAGCCTTGAGTTTCTATGATTACAAGTTTCTAATGCACATATGGGCCACAAACCACACCTGGTTCTCGCAGAACAGTGATGGAGAACCTTTTGGAGCTTTCAGTGATAACAAACAGCCCGCTGTAGCATGTGTGCTATTGGTTCACCACCACTGTCACAGAAAGATGGGCCCAAACTCACTGTCACCACAACATGCAGGATTTAAATGTTCAATGTCTCTTGGTGCCATAAAATGGGGGCAGGACCAGCACAGAGAAGTTATTCACAGGACTGAAATCATGGTCAGGATGTTACACAATGAAACTGTCTCTATGACACATAAGCTGAGCCCAAAGAGGCCTTAATGTGAAGGAACGCTGCAAAGACGACCATGCATTTGATCTGAAGCTGGGGAGGCTGACTGGAATTAAGACAATAATTACATCTTACCAGCTACGTGTTAAGAATACATTTTATTGTTTGAAGTTCTGTGGATTTCACTGTACAAAGAACCTGTCTGAAGCAGGCAAAGATTTGTATTGTCTGCCTTCCCTGGAGAAGGAATCTAAGGCAAAGCACTCTGGTCATGTGCCCTTCTGAACCATGCCAACAAAGCTACCACATGAACACTCAGATTCCAGGCAATGTAAGAAGTGTAGTTAGTCTCCCACTCCTTTTTTTTTTTTATTAGGTAGGGTTTTGTTATGCAGTTCAGGCTGTTCTTGAACTCATTATGTAGCCCATGCTAGCCTTGAACCTGCAGAGATCCTCCTGTCTCAGCCTCCCAAGTGCTGGGATTATAGGCATGAGCCACCATGCCCAGCTGAAATATAGTTAGTTCTCATAGGACTTTTTTTTGAAATAAAATTATTTTACAGACTTCTCTAGATAGAATTATATTTAGATCTAGTGAAAAAGTATTTAGTTAAGGCCTCTTTTCAAATCGGAAGACAAGCTCTTTCTAAAATGGGAAACCACGAATAGGCAAGAAATATTTAGTAAACAAAGTAGTTCAAGAAATTTGGCTATTTAGGAAAAAGCAAAAACTAGAAATTTAATATTTAGAGGGATTAAAATTATGAGTTAGAAGAACCTTAAAATAATGTTCTACATTAAAAGTATTACTTTAATCTTTAGCTTAAATAATTAAGAACTGACAATGTACTTGATCTGATCTAAGGTAACATAAGTAACTGACTGAACTAATTTTCACAGTAGATTTAAAGCTGCATATGCATCATGAAACTAAACAGCACCCACATGAGATATATTCACTGCAGGTTAGTACTGTAGACCATACTAAGCACTACGATTGTCTTAACATTTTTTTTTTTTTGGAAAATTGCAGAGAATCAATACTAACCGGCATCATTTCTATTTTGAAATATAGTCATGGCTTCTAGATTTAATGCACATACTCCCCTCATGAACGCTTTCTTCATGGAATCTTCAAAGTGCTCTTTCTCTTGTTGCATTCTCTGAATCTCGGCTTTTGCATTTTCCAAAGCTCCGGATAACTAAAATAAGGATAATTTGAAAAAAAGAAGAATATTTGAGACATAAGAAAGAGCTTTACTGCTAAAAATATAAATATGTTGTGAGGTTATTAAATAAAATACAAAAATAGTTTGCTATATACCTCTTGTGATATGTAACTCAATTTAATTACATTTTGTACCTACTCTGTTCATCAATAAAGTATTTTTTTGTTGTTTTTGGTACCGGGGATCAAACTCAGGACCTGTGCTTGCGAGGCAGGCGGCAGGCAGAACCACTGAGCTAAATCCCCAACCCAAACTATTTTCATTCCTAACCATAAAGTCAAGGTTCCAATAAGGAGAACTTTATAACAGTTTCACTGAAGATTGCCAGTGTATTTTCACTACACAAAAAAATGTCCTTTTTACCACAGAAGTTTTATGTAGGATAGTAAACAAAACACATTTCTTTACACGATACCCCTGATCCTTTCAGAAAAACAAAACCAAACCCTAAATACAACATAACCAAACCCTAAATACAACATATACAGAAGTTTTAGAAAGTGAATGTTACCTACAGGATTTAAAGTGCCGAGTGGATTTAGGTACAGCCCATTTTCCCCCTGGATCAAACCTATAGGGACTACATTTTTGCATGTCAGTTGAATTGCAGAAAATTATTTTATTTATTTATTTGGGTATGGGGATCAAACTTGGGCCCTTGTGCTTTCGAGGCAGGAGGCAGAACCACTGAGCCAAATCCCTAGCCCTGAAATTTATTTTTAATATTAAGAATTCAGTGCCATAATGGTGAATTTTCTATTTTTTAATCTTTATTTCATGAAGTCTATTATATTTTTCAGATGATTCTAATTTCATTTTAGGTCCTAAATATTTTCTCATGGAAACAATATTAATTTTATTATTAAAGGTCAAAGAAAAATAATTTCAATTTATGTGCATCTGCTTTATACCAACTTTTTTGAGACAGGGTCTTGCCATGTAGTTTAGGGGCTGGCCTCAAACTTGCAGTGATCTTCCTGCTTCCTCTTCCCAGGTGCTGGGATTATAGGCATGATGCCTGGCTACACCAACCTTATAAGAATACAATTTAAATATGAGGATAAAATCTTTTTTTGTTTTTATTTTTGGCTATATAGAGAGTAAAAAGAAAAACCTAACTATAAACTAATAACGAATGTACTCATCTTTCTTATTGCATTAAAAGAAAGTGAAATATGAAAGAGGTTACCATAGCAACTTTGGTCTCATAATCATTGGAAAGCTGGATGCAAACTTCTTCAGCTCTCGCTTGACAAGCTCGCTCTAACACTTCCTTCCACTGCCTTTGTATGAGAGAATGCCAGCCCTTCCAGACTTTCTTCAGTAACGTTCTCTGGAAGTACTGGTCAGCTAGTTTACCTTCATAAACCTAAACAAAAGTAACATACAACCTCAAAACCACAATGGACTGGTGAATGTATTGGTAGTAATAACAGACATGACACAGTGATAAGTGTATACACAGGATCATTCAACCCTAGACAACCGTACTGTTCACAAACTGCACCTGGGAGGACAGGCTTACGGGATAGGAGATAGGCCTTGGTCACACATGTGGGATGGGAAAAACCAGACCTGCCTCACCCCTCCATCATGGCTAACGTGGCTAATCAAGTCAGGGGAAAAACAAAAACCTAAATTAAAGAAAATGAGATGCCAACTGAGCTATGAATTTGCATAACCTTTTAAATAAATATTTGTTCTCTATATGACAATTTTCAAAGGCACACTCACTTTAAACAACTTGTTTCAACATAACATAGATCTCAGCCATTGGGATTCATTAAAAATGAAAGCACTAGGAAATACTCATGCTAGTTAACCTTGAATGTCAGTGTGTCTGGATTAAGAGGCACTGGAAGATGATTAGATTATCCACTGAGGCACTCACAGCACAATGAAGGCCTCGCTGAAGGATGTAGATCACTAAAGGTGTAACCTAGAAGGGTGTATTCTCATCCTGGCCCCTTCCCTTTGCCTGGCCCCTCCCCTACTCTCTGTTCCTGGCTGCTGTGGGTTGAGGAGCTTTCCTATATCATAACATCTGCCACAGGCATTTCTGCCTTGGAACCAGGTATCCTGGGCCAAAATGTGAGTGAAGGAAACCTCTTTTCCTTTAAACTGCGACTGTTAGTTATTTTTTCCCAGCATGAAAAACTGACCAATATAAATCCTTAAAGGGATATTCTATTCCATAATAACAATAACTTTTTCTAAAAGAAAAAAAAGTATTTCTGCACACTATATAATAATCAAATTCCTATAAGAGAAACAATATCATAAATTCATTTTTACTTACTGGAAAACACATCTTTCTTTGGCTTTAACAAGAGTTCTGGTAAGTGCTTGATTATGGTTTACATTGAGAATGTCTCCCCAAACCTCATGTGTTCAGATGTGAGGATTTTGGAAGGCGAATGAATCTTGAGGGGCTATAGCTGACTTGCTGTTAGGAGGTGGGGTCTGGCTGCAAGAAGTGGTAACTGGGATGTGACTAGAAGAGCGCATCTCCTTGCCTGTCTCCGCTTTGTTCTATTGCCTGCCTGCCCTTGACATGTGAGCAGCTTTCCTCCGCCAGACTATGGACTGAATCCACTAAAAACCATGAGCTCAAATAAACCTCTCCTCCTTTAAGTTGTGAGTGTAGGGCAATGCGTGTCAGCAATGGGTAAGTGCCTAAACAGGATCCTGAACCCTTTTCAGAAGTCTAATGCTGGTCAGAGATCTTGTCTTTCTTTATACTCACATCCTGTCTGGATTTGACATGGCCAATCCGCCAGCGGAAGAATGTTCGCATCAACTCTATCCTTTCCTTTTGTTTGCTGATGGCATGAGACAAACTAGAAATCACCTGTAAAGAGCAGTTAATCTAGTTAGTGTGATACTAGAATAATGACTGGTTAGGTGATTTTCTCATATATCAAAAAGTGCTAGAGAGAATAGCTATGAGGCTCTATCATATTCATCTAGTTGGCTTCATCACCATTATTATTATTATTATTATAAAAAGGCCACAAGCTGGGGATTTAGCTCAGCAGTGAGCTGCTTGCCTGGCAAAAGCAAGGTCCTGAGTTCAATCCCTGGTTAAAAATAAATAAATAAATAAATAAATAACAACAAAAAACTCCACAAGGGCAGGTAATTTAGCTCAGTGGTTCCACCACCTGCCTCGCAAATGCAAGGTCCCGAGTTCCATTCCTGGTACCAAAAAAAAAAAACCAAAAAACCACACAAAAATTCTCTGCATGAATATACTACATATTAACAAATAAAGGGGAATAAGAGGAAAGAAACTGTCACTGTGTACATATCTTGTTAATAACCAATGAAAGTTTCTGTATGTGAAAATTAATATACTTATTGACATTTAATTCAGGAAAAACAATTGTTATTTGAAAGGTTTGCTATATATACAAATTCACTACACTTGTGAGCAGGGCTAAGTTTTAAATATCTTCTAGTCATTTGTATTTACTATCTTGATATAGGAAATTTTCAGTAACTAACAATTTTATAGTTTTAAGAATTCTGAAAAAGCAAATAATAGTGACATTTTGGTATGCTTCCTCAATAATATTATTTTTGTTCTTTAAAAAAATGAAAGCCTTTAAATCGTAAAATAACATTCTCTCTTACAAAGAACTGGATACTGAAAAAATGGTTACATTAAAAAGATACTCAGTGAATTGGACACATTTTACCAAGAGACATTTGTTATTGTCGTTCTTTTCAAAAGAGGAAATGGCACACATTCTAACATAGCTGTTATATTCTATTCTTAAACTGGATGGCAGTTCACTTTATTCATCTTTATAAATTCAACATGATGTTAAAACATTTACAAGTTTAGAACAGGGTTTTTTAAAGGTAACAGAGAAGACGACCAAAATTAGTGTCCATTAGTTCAAAAAATAAACTAAACAAGATGTGCAATTTTATATTATACCCTGTAAAATGAAGTACGCATATATTTTAAAAACACACAATCTTCATCTAGTTCACTGAAATGCCCTGGTGCTGTTTCTGCAGACCAGCGGCTGAGGTGTGTGCCCGAGTCCATCTTCTCTGGAAACCACTACCCTCCATCCACGAACTGCAGAGATTTGTTGCCCAGCTGCTTTGCTCAAGGTGCTATCAGGAGGCAAAAGACTAGCAGAGACTTAAACTCTGCTCTCAAGGTCTTAAGAGGTAACAAAGTGAAGCTAAATAAAAGATAAACTGGAGGCAAAAGACTAGCAGAGACTTAAACTCTGCTCTCAAGGTCTTAAGAGGTAACAAAGTGAAACTAGGGACATTTTCTGTGTTTATCTTCAACAGTAAAGAAAGGCAGGATTTGAGATACTTAAAATATTCCCTAAAAGGATAGTTTCAAATGTGGTAATATTTATTCCATGATGTTCTTTATAGGGCAGGTAGAGCAGAAAAAAGATTCGAAAGATAAAAACAGAGCACTTGTATTTAGCTGACACTCTTAAGCCATGAACATTGAAGCCAAAGCTAAGACAAAGTGGCATAGCACTCACATGTTGACGAAGAATACATCTTACGGCTAGGCATTCATTTTCTATCAGTTTCTGAAGCAATTTCCTGTTTATATCGTATGTGAGCTAAATAATCATCTGTTCTTAGAACTTATTACTTAGGAAGGCATTTACTGAATTGCAATCAAAAAGAGATATTAAGCCAGTCACAGTGGCACATGCCTGTAATCTCAGCACTCAGGAGGCTGAGGCAGAAGGACTGCTGTGAGTTCGAGGCCAGCCCAGAACACACAGCAAGATCCTGTAAAAAAAAAAAAAAAAAAAAAAAAAAAAAAGGTGGGGGGAGACTTTTAAAAAGAAGACCTCATCTTTTCTCCCAATGGAAATTTCAAAGGTTTTCTGCAGCTCCTTCAAGTCACTGATCTGGCTGCACAGTTGCTTTACACGTGCTGCATGTTTTTCCTTCTCTTTCTTCATTTCCATTCGATGCCAGTCAATAAAATTAAGTCTCCATTTGCTTAGTTCAGATATAACGTTTGTCTGAAAAATAAATGGACAATAATTAAGTAGTTTTTCCTTAACACCACTTCAAATTGGAATTGAAAAAAATCTAAAAATCACAGCAAGCAGTAAACAAAACATGTAAAAAGTCACCACACACTAACGATGTACGCACATTCAACAGTCATGGCTCTCTGTAGTTCCTGTTTACCAGAAAACTTAGCTTTTTTCCTATTTTAAGTTACTTTGTGTAAAATCTTATCTTTCAAAAAAAAATTCAGGCCTCATTCATTAAATTCCTTTGTCTATTCAAGGACTTAAGTGTCCACATTAAAATGGATCAGGTAAGAAAGAAACTCAGAACTGCAGGTGTGGCTGAGCCCTAAGTACTAGGACACTGCTTAGACAGAGGTGGTAGGGGAAGTGGGGGAGTTGAGGCTTTCTTCCCCAAACTGGTCACCTTACATCAAGTGGCTGCATCTTTACTCCACTGAATGGCATAAGTAAAAAGACCAAATAATCATTTCTTGTTACAAACAAATAACACGGCCAAGTGAACTCAGAACAATTTGAATGGCTGGGTGTATATGACTCCAGTGGACTTACACCATTATTGGAAGTATGAAACCTATTCGAAAGGGAGAAACTATGCTAAAAGGTTATTTCTAGAATTTAAAGTATGATTTCCAGACTGCATTATCATCTGGCTGCTTGAGAGCAGTGCATCATTTGGGTCCTTCCCAAGACCTACTGAGCACCAGATCTCCAGGTGACTCCGATGTAAACCACACACAAACCTAAGAATTGGGATTCATCTCAGGAAACTACACATTTGTTTGTTGCTTTTATGTTTTTGTGGTGCTGGGAATTGAACCCAGGGTTTGGTGTATGCTAGGTACACTGAGCTATATCCCCAACCTCACAGATGTTTTTTTAAGAAAAGCTTTTAAAAAGAAGAATAAACAGTAGACATGAGTAAAACTACTGCACTACATATTAAATTTAACAACTAACTGAACATCTGCAATACCTTAAGACCGGAACTCCACAGATCGAGGACATTCTCCATCCTCTGAAGGTTTTCATCAGAAACAAAGCAATCACCTGCAATTATTTCATGGGCATCTATGTGGGTAGAATTAGTTGCTGGTGAAGAAGAGTCACCTAAGAGATGTGAGCTGAAAAAATCCATGACTGGGTGAGAAGGTTTCCTTGGTGATAACAATGGCGATGACCCTAGGATAAAAGAAAAGTTGAAGTAGCTAAGCCAAATTGCAAATCCTCCAGATTGGTGAGGAGTCACATTGAAAGACTACAAGGTGTCTGCCAACTGTGGAGGCTGGGAAAAACACAGAGAAATTACCTTTCAGGGTTAGTTTTATCTGGCTGTTTTAAATTTCAGTATTGTCACTGATATAGTAATTGCTAGGATGAGATGCTTCCTATACCGCACACTGCTCACAGATGAATGACCCCTATCTCAAACAGGATGCTTATACATCCAGGTCCAACCTGAGCGGAGAGTGTTATCACCCTATCACCCTACAGCATTAACTGTAATAAAAATGTTAGAGGATTAGTTCCCATAACACAGACTACCCTAAGAAGCAAGTATTATCTGTGCTTTAATGATGCTAGGGTTAAATAATTAACCAAGGTCAGAGCAGTTGTATACAGGTCATTATTACTTTATCCTGAAAATTGGGATGGGTCTGAACACTGATAAGATTTAACAATATAAATAAGAAAAAGCCAGTAAATTACCTCAGCAGATACTCTGTTGTAAGGCTTTCTCTTAGCCTTCACAATGTAGGTGAGAAATATATGCACCTCCCTGGATACATATATATGGACTTACACACATTAAGTCATGACTTGCACTTAAACAGGAAGGCAAGGGTGAGCCAGAGCCAGAAAGGGAACTGGTGCCTATCTTTATACAGCATAAAACAGAAGAGTTAATATTTTTATCTGTGCTGGAATCTGATGGTATTCGTCAGCATTTCTCATATATCTCATGTTTGTTATAAGGGTACTAATAACCAAGATTGTAGGAATTTCTCTCCTCCTTACTAACTGGATCAAAGCCAAACCTACTGTAGAACTTGTTACTTAAAAGTGAATTTTTGAAAGAATTTTTTGCAAGAGAAAATCATTTTAAAATATGAATGCTGGCATTAAAAAAAATATACCATAATACCAAGTTTGGCTTATGAAGCACTGTGTGTTCTAAGGATGGCTAAGGAATCCACAAAATAAGACAAAATGACATAGGACACACATGTTCCTTCACTGGGTTTTACCAGTCAGATCTGCACTCACAAGGAAAACAATAGATGATGCTTTTTAACTGTTGGGAAAAAAAAATACACTTACCTTCTAAAAACAGTCATGTAACTTAGGAACTTGGAAGGAAACTTCCACACGAGGAAACTAAAGTGCAGAGACATTTCTTACATGGTGGTTTAAAAGCTTTCTATATTAAATGACACTGAATCACAGAGTAAGGAATGTGTTCCATTTTTATTTTTAAAATTACTCTATGTCAAGGAAAAGTTTCAGTCTGGTTCTAGTGTACTTTTAAAATGTCTTTAACATCTGCTGACATCTCCTTTCAACAAAAAAATGAAGTATGAATGAATGAAAGCAGATTTCAGATGCAATACACCAACAGTAGGTAAAACTCAATAATTTTGTTTTTGTTGTATTTATTTGTATCATTACTTTCTTATTGTACTAATTGTATATTAGTTTTATGTTATAATCCGTAGCAATTGATACAAAGTTTCCTTTTAAATGAATTTAAACTAAAAATTGAATTTTATTTTTTTTTTTCGAGACAGGGTCTCACTATGTAGTAAAGGCTGGCCTTGAACTCTTGGTGATCCTCCTGCCTCAGCCTCCCCAGTGCTGAGATTCCAAGTGTGTACAACCAGGCTCAGTTTAAAACCGAACATATTTAAAGAAAAAAAAATGACAGAACAGGTGATATGTATAAAATAACAAAAAATTATTAGAATGGAACACATAAGATTGCAAGCTGGTAAATAGTGCATTTTTTTCAGGACTAAAGATTGAGCTAGGGACTTTCACACTGAGAAATATCCCTGGACTTTTCTATTTTTATTTTGAGACAGAGTCACTATGTTGTCCAGGGTGGGCTTGAATTTTTGGTTTTCCTTTCTCAGCCTCCCAGAGAGCTGGGATTATAAGCATGTGTCACCACACCCAGCTTAACCTGTTTTAAATGTACAATTTTGGAAACTTATGAAATTATTTTAAATATTATCCTTAAACTAGCAATATCATTTAAAAAAAACCTATCAATAATATGTTGACATCATGCCTCTTATTATATGGATAATATTTATCAAATCACAAGTATTACATAGTAATAAAAACAAGGTAAGGGAATTCATACCATCCACCTTTGAATGACTTGAAATATTTAAGTCGCTTCCTTTTCCACTTTCCATTGCAGTTTCTCTTACTACAGAGCTACTTCCTGCTGAAAAAAAGGTTTTTAAAAAATTAAACCACTGTTAGATAAAATGCCTAATGATGTATACCTAATTTAATAAGTTAATAATATACAAGTAAAATTTTAGAACAAAGAAAACATAACAGCCCTAGGAAACGAGAACACTATGACAAAGGACAAGAAAGAAAAGAAATATGAAACTAGAAAAGACTCACTGTATCACAATAAGCTCAATCTCACCCACCAAACACCGGTGAAAGACAATTCAGTCTACTATAGCATTCACTCCACATTAAGAGAATAATAAGTGGGTAAAATAGTAAAATTTGCTATCTTGTGACAATGGGTATTTTCCAGGAGCTTCCTGCTCTTCATTAGCTGCCATCAAACTAAAGTACTAGGTGGCATCAAAATCAGGACCTCCCTGCTGCCATTGAAGAATTAATGTATGGCAAAAAGGAAACCGAGGAAAATCTCCTAAGAATGGCTGTGTTGGATGTTAATATACACTGTGCCAACTGCAAAATGTACACTGTGTATACCAGATGACCACTGTACTAAGAATGAAGAGAACGTGTGATGGTAAGTTTCCATAGTCCATTCTAACAGTGTACTTGTGGGTCAGGATATCCAAACTCATTATATGTTGTATGTTTTAATTAAAAAAGGCAGAACATAAAAGAAATGCTACCTTACATGGAAAAAAGAGCAATGGCCTTAAGTCCCATATGATTACCTTGGAATGCTTGGGAGTCAGGCAAGGAAAGGAGTCCTGAGTTGTGTGTCTGGTAGCAACAGTACTGGGATATTGCTGCCAACTGGGGAGGAGACAAGCTTTTGGCGATACCCATCAGAGCAGAGGTATATAGGGAACAATGTGAATTTACCTATTTATATTTTTAAGAGAGAATGCAGCACTTTGAGTTTGCTCAGTAGCAACTGCATGTTGAGGTACTCAGTATAATCAAAGCATGATCGAGATCGCTGATGCAGAATTTATGAATAAATGCAAAGTTCACATTTCTTGAAGATAATAAAATTTGGGTAGAAAATCTTCTCAGAATAGAAAATGTTAAGGCCCTGCTATTTGTTGTTCCAGTGCAGTAGGCTTAAACTGAGGAGTAACGAAACCCCTCTCTTTGGAGGTGAGGTACAGTAACTAGGGCAGTGACTTGCTGGAAGCCCAGGAACCTTTTGACTGAGTAGGCTGTGCTACATTCCTTCAAGAACAGAGGTTCTTGCTGGTCGGTCTACAGTGTGGTGCTGTCCGCCATGGGAGCCATTTGAGGAAGGTGTTCTGTTCTTTTTAAATGAATACTCTAAATTTAGAGTGAGTTGTTTGGGATCTTGTACATACTAAGAAATGGTTGAAATAGGTTGAAGGAGCTTTACTCTCCTTTCTCTCATCTATCAGTGCGCATTCTGGTTTACATCAGTTCTCAATTCCGTTATTGACAGAGTCCACAAATGGGTCCACTTTTGCACTGAATATTCAAATAGTCCTTCATGTCCATGTAAATACTGATGACAAAGAACTAGAATGTGGTTCACAAAGGTACTAGAAGGTTACCTAAGGACCATCCTTAATGTTTGGTTTGGGCATCTAGTTTTTAGGATATACCTGGCATAAAACTGTTCAAACAAGAATTAAGTGCAACATAGTCTACTAATAGACATATTATTGCTACAGTATTGTTTTAACTTTACGATGTTTCATAAAAGAGTTAAATGAAATTAAAAATCCAGCTCCACATAAAAGCCAGGAATAACTCAGCAAAATGTAAGACGATCCCTCACATGATACTGATACATACCACTGACTGAGAAAAAACACTCAACCAGAGAGGCACTTTCAGAATCCTAAGCATCACTGATGAGCCTACAATGACATCTTAAAGAGATATTTTGAAAAATAGACATAACCTTGATTGTGAAGAATATTATCAACTGTAGTAGGAATTCTAGCATCTGGCGCTTCTCCCTTAGGATGAGATGGCTGTGAAACACTGGAGTCAATATTTGGAGTCACTATAGCATAACGAAGCAGTTCTTCATACTCTTCCTAGGAGACGCCAACAATCAATGATGTATCACAGTGATTAAAATGTTACATATACTCAGCTACTGTTTTTTTGTATGAAGAAATTTAATTACCATGACAGAGTCACATGTGTATCAAAATATGAAAGGTCTGAACGCTGATTCCAAACTTGGGTCCCTCAAGTGCTTTTTGTATAATTAGTATCTTTAAGGTTAAGTATGAAGAGATTCTGATAGTGATTCAACACAATAAGTTTTTTTTTATGCTTCAGATCAGTTTAACCGAAGATGAGACACGCTATTAAAAAGTTGCCACTTTCAACCTCTTATATTGAGAATCAGAATATTTTGATATTATGTAACTCAGAATAAAGAAGCAAATGATATTTAGGCTTATAAAACTACACTGGCCTTCTATCACACTCTAATTTCAAATGTGCATATATCAAGGCAGCTTAACTGCTTCTGAGAGCTGACTCTATGAAAAGTAAATGTCACACAAATTATATGATTGTAGTTCCGTTTTTTTAACATTGGAATTTCAAATAAAATCATTTGAAAAAAGAAAGAGGTTATGCTATTCTCTGAAAACTGCTAGTCTTAAGGGAAACTAAATATAAAAGAGTGATTTAGTTTGAACTTCCACATACATTTATATAGTTAATATAGATACTGCAAAAAATATGCATAGCAAATATAAGCTTTTTAAATATTGTATATGGCAAGGCTAAAGAAAAAGATATGAAAATTCAATCAACAGACTCCTCTCTTCATATTGCTATAATAACTCTTTATTAACGATGTCTCTTTCATGACAATAAATGTCTCTCTGAGTTTTCAACTGACATTTCCTGATAGAAGATAAAAGTCTGTATTTTACATTATGGTTATCACTAAGGCAGAAGGCTATTAATACGGAAAAATCATTTAGAATATTATAATTTAATTTTTATGTTGACAAAAGTAACTATACTTCTTTAAACAGATTTAAGTGCCCTTAAAGCTTTCTTTATTTTTTAGAGTCTCCATTATTTTACTTTATTACCAAAATCCATTACGTAAGCCCATCGTGCTGATGGCTGGAGGAGTGGAGTGGGTGAACATGGCACAATAGCAAAATGCCCCCTTAAAAAGGGGTGTCTCAGCCAGAAGCTCCCTGGTGTGCTCCCTGACAGCTCCTGGAACAATGGCTGTCTTCCTGGACTAAACCCCACCTCTCTTCCCAGGAGCAGGGTCCCTGCTCAGTGAGCCCTGGCATGAGCTACAGTCCAGATCACAGACAAGCCCTGAGGGTGTAGAGAAGCTCTGCATGGTCTGGTGACACCCTGAGAGGCTGTCACCCAGGGAGGAAGCCTGCCCTCAAGGCGAAGACAAACTGGCTAATTGGAAAACAAAGCCTCCTAGGAGCAGAGACTAGGTGACCAAGTACGACTTTGAGCAGCCATGGAGACTGGAGTCAGTTCAGCTACCTGCTAGGGAGGTGAGAAGTGTCCAAGGCAGGGTGGCACTTGTTCCCAGGAGCACCAGCCCACACCGCACACAGTATCCAGCGCTCTGCCTGCCTCTCAGGCTAAGGTGAGTCCTTTAGAAATAGTGTCTGATAAGCCTGTGGTCTGGGGTCCTTCGAGCTAGTATTGCCCACATGTTCAGACAGTGTTATCCTTGTGTGACAATGACATCACAGCCTCCCTATAGTTCATGGAGATGGTATCCAAGAATGACAGAAACACTCAGGGACCCACAAATCTGGCCCCACAAAGGGGGGGTCCACTTTCACAGTCTGCTTCTTCACATGAGGCCTCACTGCGTCATTGTATAAGTACCCTTACATTTTTCAAATACTGTACACTTTCTCAACCATATTAGCTTTTCAGATATTAAAGTGAATTCCCAAATAGCTTGATAAATCAGGGTCATACAAGGTATCAAATACCTGGTTCCTACAAACCTGAATGTGTGTCAGCTTTACTAAACTAATAAAATACAAAAATTTCATTCAAGTGCTTAACTCCCTATGGTAGAGATGGCTGGTAGTCCAAGAGTATCTATTTTCTCTCTTTTCTTTTCAGTTAATAAAGACCCAGGGTTTAATTCTGAGCAAATGGCCACTCAGCTACATTTCACAGCTTCCCTTGCAGCTAAATGTGCAGAGACCTGGTCTATGAGATCTAAATGGAAGTGATATGTACAACTACAAGTGTAGTCCTCAATTTCTAGGGCATGACAGAGCAACAGGAGAGAAGACATGACCTCAGGTGTAACTCTCAGGACCACATACCACTTCAAACTTTTATAGAAGACAGAATCAAACTTTAAGACACTCACTGAAGTCATTCTTGGTTTCTGTTAAAGCAGCCAAAGCAGTACTGTTATATTTCTCAAACAAGGTAAATTTTTTATTTTGGCAAAGAATATTAAAAAGTATAGCTGTATTTGGTGATGGAGATCATCAGGGAGTAATTAAGGTTAAGTAAGATCACAGGCTGAGGCCCTGGTCTGACAGGATTAATGTCCTTCTGAGAAGAAGCACCAGAGTCGCTTTCTCTTTCCTCATCATGTACACAATACTGCACTGAGGAAAGGTCATGTGAAGACAACAGGAAGGCAGCTGTCTGCAAGCCAACAAGAGAGCCTGATCAGAAATTCATCTCTGTGGACCTGCAACTGGGACTTCTAGTCTCTTACACTGTGAGGAAATCAATTTTGTTGTTAAAGCCCCCAAACCTATTGTATTTTGTTATGACAGTCTAAGCAGGCTACTATGTTGTCTATCTTATATTTTGAGATCTCTAAAATTTTTAGAGTCTTCTTCCCCTGGTAGTAACTGCAACTGGATTTAGACCAGTTAGCTCCCCTGAGAGTTAGCTTATTACTCCCTGCAGCCTGTGGGAAGGGAGGGGGAAGTGGAAGTCAGTGGCTTTACTAGTCGGACCTCTCTTTTAGGTAAGAACACTAAAACAAAGAAGATCAAAGTTCCCACAACAATTACTATGACTTAAGTGAAGATAAACAGGTATATATTACTAGTAGTCAGTGACCACACATATTCTTACTTATTTTAAGGAATGATCTAAAAAACCAGCTATTTAAACTATTGTGAAGTTTAGTATATGTAGTTACAGACAGTGTGGATTTTTAGAGCTAAGGATCAAACTAAATAACATTGCCACATCTTTCTTGATTATCAAGACAATCTGTCTTAGGCAAATGAGGCTCCAAGTGTAACAACCAATACTTGTGATTTTGGCTGGCTCTTGCACTCCTAATAGCTACACTGCTAAGACCCTGAAATACAGTTCAACCCATATCTCAATCATTTCAGTCAAGGCAACTTGCAGAGTCTAGAGCTGCACTCTTTCCTTTACTCCTTCTATATTCACTGCAGAGATTTACTTATTTATTTTACCAGGGCCAGGGATCAAACCCAGATCCTTGCACATGTTTGGCAAGCACTCTACCACTGAGCTACACACCAGTCTCAAGATTTATTCTTTTGACTCAAACTTTTGTTTCTTGATAAATGACTACATGAGACTTTATGGGGTGTTTATATTTTGGTATATGAGTTAATCATTTCTTTCTTGAAGAAGACTGGGTAAGGCAGATATAATGACTACAGGAAAGCACTGATACTCTGAAACAGCACTACAAGGGAGAGGTTCCACCATAGGGGAAGGTCTGAAGGGTGACATGTTGATGCTGAAATTCCAGACTAATTTATGAGTAAATATTCAGGATTTTGAAATACCTTCCCAATTTTTCAATTTCTAATTTTAATGAAAAGAACTCATTTCATAAAATATTTTTCTGAATCTTATATATCACAGTATCAGTAACAGTTTACTTACATATAAACACAATGTCCATCTTATCCCCTCTTAGGTTTTCCCTTCTGAAGTGATAATAACTATAAAATTTAAACTATACCATGTCAGTATTCTCTCATTTAATCTGTATTTTTTTTTGTTTTGTTTTGTTTGGTACCGGGGATTGAACTCGGGTCCTTGCGCTTGCAAGGCAGACCACCAAACCACTGAGCTAAATCCCTGGCCCTAATCTGTATTTTTGATGATGAAACAATTAGAAATGAAAACATGCAAACAGCATACCTTCTATGGTCAATTTATCCAATTTATCTGTTAATGCTCAATTTATCTGTTAATGTCCTTAGCAGCAGATTGTGTTGACTGTTGTAGCAACAGGGACTAGAACCTCATTGAGTTGAACACAAAGGAGCCTTGGGCTCTAGAACTTGAGGTTTGATATTGTATCAATTTGCATTAAAAGTGAAAGCAGCATTCATAAGGCAGTTAAATGAGAAAGTTTCAAGAAAAAAAATCTCAGATTCTCTTTTCACTCTTATTAGTTGAAGCCTTTGTAAAAGTATGGAATTCATGAATAATTTCTGAAAAGTTAAAACTATGTAAAGTAACTACCAAAATGTATAAAGTAATTCCCAAAGTTTTATATTATTGTACACGGAAAGACTCCATTGTAAATGGAATGAATGAAACAGATATTCCACGTTTTCCCATAAATTATCACTTGTTTAAAGTGAAAAAAATTAAATTTAGACACATCCTACCTGAAGATCTGTAGAGACAGAACTGCTTTGATGGGAGTTATTTTGTATAACTGGAAGTGAGTATTTGTCTTCATTTGATGCCATTCTGCACAAGAACTATAAAACAGTAGACACTAGCTTTAGCTTTTTCCCTTAATATTTTAACAAAAATAAAATGGTTTTAAAATATATATCAGTATAAAAGTATCCTAATCTGCAAACAATATTTGTTATATGTTTACAAAAGACATTCATTCAATATATTGAGGACCTATAGTCAAAAATCACTGGGCAGCAAAAACTAATCCCAACATCAATGAGTTTATAATGCAGTCATCAAAGGAGTTGAGCCAAATACACGAGAGGTTAAAGAAAGATCCTCACTGGGGTCTGGTGAAGAACACAGACTGTGATCACAGTTCTTGAGTCATGTGTGACAAGCTGCATATTGTGCACTTTCCCAAGAGACAGGGAGGGAACAAGAGGTAATGAATAGCTGTTGCCAATTTGCTTCTTGGGAAACTTAACCTTGGAGGAATAATATTTTAAGAAAAGCAAGTTTATACAGAAAAAAAGATCTTTCAAACACACATAGAAAAATTACTCAAAGTCCCAATCACTCCCTCCAAGAATAAAAGTATGTTAAAAGACAAATAATGATCATTTTAAATATCAGTTACAGGTTAAGACATTGGTGGAGATGTAAGATGAAGTCCCTGGCTTTACAATCTGTGGAGTATATTACATGAAATATGAAAAACTGATAGCTGTAAAACCTGCTACACCCTAAAATAGCAGAGATACAAAGTAGGGAGGCAGAATCAGCCATTATTGATGGGGGTAGGATTGCATATGTGTGAAGATTTGGGAAAAGAACCAGAGAAAGTTTGTACAGAAAAGATGGCCTAGGTATTGAGACTTACAAGATGAGCATGTTTCACCCTGAGAGATGGCACGAAGATGAAAGAATGTTCTAGACAGTAGAGCAGCAAAGAGAGTTCTAAGGACAGCAGTCAGCTTGGTAAGGTTGGAGCGAAGGGTGCAAAGTAAGGCTTGGGTGGCTAAATGAAAAGGTACAGAGGAGTCAGATCATGACTTGTCAATTTAAAAGTTGAGACTTTATTCTACAGAAGTTATTAAAATGTTTTAAATAAGTGATAATAGGATTGAGCTTGTTTTTTATAAAAATCATCTTGGCAACTCTAAAGTAGTTAGGATACTCAAACGAGACCAATGGAGAGGTAAATACAGTAGTTCAAAAGGTTTATGTTCTCTCCAGCAGTTATCCATGAGATAAATGAAGTCTTTAGTCTAGAAGGGGCAAGAAGGTGTGATTATAAGACAGTTGTGTTGGTGAGGGAAATGGGAGATCATGATCAATAATGGGTTATGGAATGAAAGGATCCAGATTTTTGGCTTGGATGTCTATACGGATGATAGTGGACTCACCATGGCAAGGAATGTAGGAAGAGGAGCAGATTCAGATTCAGAGGAAGGACAATGAGTTCCGTATCAGACATGTGGGGCATGAGGTTACCTCTAGCACTGGTGTAAAGCTGCAGGGATGAAGCAGTCAGTCCTCTATGTCTTTGAGTTCCACATCCATGGATTTAACCAACTGTGGTCAAAATACTTTTTAAAAATTACAGCCATACTGAACATGTAGTTTTTTTTCTTGTCATTATTCCCAAAACAATACAGAACAATTATTTACATAACATTTACATTGTATTAGGTATTATAAATAATTTGGAAATAATTCACAGTATCCAAGTTTTATGCAAATGCTATGCCATCTTAAAGGAACATGAGCATCTGCATATTCAGGGATCTGGGGGAATCCTAGATCAATCCTTTGTGAATCAGAAGGACAACTGTGTGCGGCTACACTGGCTATGCAGTGCACAACTCCAAGGATGGACAATCACAATGGCTACAATGTGAATGATGGTTGCTAGAGTTAAGCAATGTGGGAGCCCTGTACTGGAAGTGTATAGGACAGGAGATCATGTTTGGATAATCATTAGCATTACTGGATCTGCTAGAAATCAGGGAGGGATAAGATCACCTATTAAAAGGAGTATGTAAAGAGTTCTTATCCTGAGGACCACACATCCAAATTATATACAATATTTTTAGCATATAAATGTACATGTGCACTGTTTTAGAAAGAGGATCTTTAGTTTTCAATATGTATTCAGAGGGGATCATAACCCAAAAAAAAGTGAAGGGAGGAGAGAGTTAAAGCCATAACCACTAACATAAAAAGGGAAAGAGAAGTCAGCAAAGAAGACTGAGTCAGAACAGTAGCATCACAAAGACTTTGAGAAGGAAGTACTTAGTTACACACTAAAGACAAGGATTGTCCTAAATTTGGCAATCAGGAGGTTGCTGTGACATTTGCTTAAACAATTCCAATGGAAACTAGAAAAAAGCCTCAATCACACTGGGGTGAAAAATAAATAAAGGATAAGGGAGTTGAAGTAGAAAGGGCAGATTCAGGAAAAGGTACAATATCAGAGTGGAGACACAGGTTGCAGCTAGACTACTAAAAGGGAATTTCAGTTTTACGCAGTATACTCTGTACACATGAGTAAACTAAATATTAGTTTTAGTTAAGCCAATTAGGGAGGACATATCTACAGCATGGGCTAGAATTTCACTGACTTCTAATTTACCACTGTGGTAACTTGGTCCATTTATGTTTTCACTCATATCTTCCTTTAGGATTTGTTTTCAGACCGAGCAGATAACAGGAATGGAGTGATGCTGATTATTTAAAAAACAAGTCAACTGGTAAATATGGTCAGATCTCAAAAATCGTTTTTTAAATATGGATACTGAACACAAAAAACACTGCTTTTTTGGAAAATACGTTATTTGACATCTACCCTGCTTTATGCTTACAAGGTATGACAATATGAAAGAGGCATTTTCCCCTACCCTTTCTAGGTTCAGAAACAAAGTAGAAAAATGAAGTTCGCTGCAATAGGTGGCAGATGAATACAAATTCATTACAGTTTTACTATTCTTTAACCCAAGGTATTAGAGACTACAAGATAAAAAAGTTTTTAGTGTTTCCTCTGTGCCAGAGATAGGTCTCGGGAATTACCGGGCTGACAGGGAGAGGTCCAGGAATTTAAATGTAACCTTCAAGAGGTAGAGGAACAGGAAATTAATAAAAGCAAACTAACAGCAGGGTGACGACCCCTTTGCCCTTTGTCGATTCCAGCTGCAATCAAAGACGGAGAGGGGGTGCGACAGCTCCTTCCCAAGCAGTTCTGGGTAAAGAGATAGTCGGTTTTGATCTCCTACCAGCCCTACTTTAATAAAAATCTTTCTTTAAAACTTTATGTGTGGTCACTTTGCTCTATATTTTAAGCGACGCGAACCACCGAGGGTGACAGCACCCCTCAGTGCTGCGGGGAGGAAGACGCCTAGGTCCTCCCTAGCAGCAGCGGGCTCCTGCGCAGCTGGGCAGACGCCCCAGGCCTGGAGCGGGCAAGAACCAGGTTCAGGAACTTTAAACCTCGTCCGCCTCTACGGCTGAGGATGCGGGGCACCGCTACCCACCGTCTACGTTCTCCTACAAATCCCGGGTCCTCACTCTGGTCTGCTCGCCGCCTCGCCACTGGGACCACAGCAAGCACTGCTGCTACCTTAGTAGCCACCTGACAGTTTCAAATTACGGGGAACATCCAAAGACAGCCCTACGCATTGGCTGCCCGCCTCAGCAATCTTGCAGCTGATTGGCCCTGGGGGCAGAGGCGGGGCTTTGGGCCCCTGCTGGAGAAGCCGGAATTAGGAGATTTAAGGGAGCCCCGCCCGCTATTTCAACTGGCGTCTGTTGGGTGGGGTCAGGGAGCCCCGCCTAGCTACTCTGAGTGGCGGGAAGGGGCGCGCTGAGCACTGCGCGTGCTCAGTTTTGTTCGCCGGTGCGGACTGCGAGGCGGCTCTGGGAGCAGATCTGGTGAGAGACTGAGCGCCCCGGTTGTCTCTCTAGGCTTTGAGCTGTGGCGTCCAAACCATTCCCACAGGTTAGGCGTGAGTTCTCATACCTTAGTCTACATAAGAATAGTTTATATCCACAGACACCCTGCAGCAGGATTACTTGGTGCACACATGTAATTCCAGAACTGTGGAGGCCCAGACAGGATTGCAAGTTAGAGATCAACCCTGGCAATTTAGTGATTTAACAAAAGAGACCTTCTCATAAAAAGAGGGTAGGGGAGGGCTGGGGGTGTAGCTCAATGCGAAGGTCCTGGTTCAATTTGTAGTTCTGTTTTGGGCCAGGGAATCTGATTTATTTTAATTTAATTTATTGGCACAGTAGGGGACTGAACGCAGGGTCTTCACGCTGACCCACATCCCCAACTCTTTAAAATTTTGTTCTTTAGTTTTGAGACAGGGCCTTGCTGAAATTTACAGGCTGGTCTCGAATTTGGAATCCTGCATCACCTTTTAGAGAGCTCGGGTTACAGGTGTACACCACCACACTTGGCTGAGAATCTGAGTTTTTAAAAACAAATAATGCCAGTGATTCTGATGCAGGGATCTGATGACCATGCTTTAAGAAACTGGCCTACGTTTTGCTAATGACCACAAACTATTTCACTGCGAGGTTGGCCCTTTTGTCATAGTATGGACCTTACAATGAGATCATAATCTGGCTCTTTACCTGTCTAAAAGATCTCATACAAAAGAATATTGGCCTTTCAACTTGTATTGTTAATAGGTAATGGTAGAGGTACATAAGGATCCAGGTGGTAAAAGGTCTAAAGCCCTGTGTTACCACAATCTGGACAACAATAAGATCTGCATGAGTTTTCAGGCTCCCATCTGTTACCTGAAGGGCGAGGAGGTTTCTTTTCATGTAAAAACAAGGACATAACCTGTGTCTTGCCTGCTTGCATGTTAGCAAAGCTAAACTTCCGTTTTTACAAATAATCTGAGAACACCAGATGTTTCTTTAGTAATGAGCTATGATTGTTCTTCCTTTCTCCAGGGGCCTAATATAAAGGACAGATTCCTACTAATAGACACAAATTCACACTTGGTTTTAATATCTCTAAGATGAATTGCTATTGGGTTACTCTATACACTACAACTCTCACTGATCTGCTGTCCCTGTGCCCTCCTGGGACTAGGCACTACATTTCTCTTTCCTGTCTTTCTTTCGGTGGAAAGATTTTCATAGAAAACCATTTGGCAAGCCATCTCTATTTTTCTGTAAAGCTAAAGAAAAAGACCAATCTTGTCTGTATATTATGAATTTAGAACTGTTTTCCCTGGTTCCTAGGAAAAAAAAGAGAACTTAAATTCCCCCATAATCCATAATAGTGTGCCAACATGAACCCTTATAATTATTTATTCAACAAATACTTTCTCACATCCATTGTATGCAAAGCATTTTCTTGGTGCTAGGAATGAGTGGTGAGCAAAAAACATTGTGCCCTCCTGGAACTTGGAGTCTAATGGGCCTCAAACAAAAACAAACATCAACCAACAATAGACTGTCAGACAACAAAACTCCCATACAAAGGAATACAATTATAAGTTGTGTTCAAAGTGAAGAAAAATAAGGAAGTGCTAATGTAAGAGCCAATGAAGAACTTGTTTTACCTAATACACATACAGACAGCTGAGTTAGGTAGAAATATAGGCAGTCACACAGGACTAGGTCCTCAAGGAAGTCAGTGAAGAAAATGAGAATACATTACAATTGTGGCTGGAGGAGCATCTGTTGAAGGCCAGGCCTCAAGATAAAGACAGAATGACCAGGCCTACATGCTTCCCCAAGAGATAAGCAATGTACTATAATTTGGATCACCTGGTCCAATAAAGGCTAGCTAGACATCAGTCACCCAGGTGGGTGACTAGGACCTCTTAACCAGTACCTCCTGACTCATCTCTTCCAAAAATGGCCCTTGTTCTTCCGTGTACACTTGCTATGCAACTTCCTTCCCCATTGGATCAGTATTACCTAAGTGGCTGTACTTGTAATCTTATTGGTTGATCATAGTTTTGTCCCACGTTGTAACCACCTCCTGATTTTGTTGTATAAAGCTTTCTCTGTAATGTAGCATCCATGGCAACTCACTCGGAACCCAGTCTGCCTTTCATCAGCTATCTCCCTCAATAAATATTTCCGACTCAACCTCCTTTGTTCCTCAGAATTCATCCTTTGATTTTGGGGAACATGAACTCAGTGTATTTAACATCTAGCAGGTTGGGAGTTATATTATTTCCCCTATATCATTTGGAGGTCCTATATACATGCAGTTTTTATGCTTCTGGGAACTGTACTATAGTGCCTTTAACTGGTTTAATTCTTAGAAAGTCTCTGTGACATAGATGCTGTTTCCATTCTCACTTTACAGATACACTGAAATGCACAGGTCATATAGTTTGCTTAGGACCGCACAGCTATATGAGTAGCTGCAGAATTCGTGTTCTCACCACTCCGTTTGTTCATTTGGAAACAGAATGGCCAAAACCTCCAGGTATGAAAGCAGTTGTATTTGG